AGGAGTCGGAGTCCACTCATTGGCCGCGAGTTTGGCCTTTGTGGCTTAGCCGTTATGCCACGTCTTTTTGGCCATAGCCCCCAAACCCCGTGCATATCCCACACCATGGGGAACAGTCACTGCTGCTAGAATGAGAGGAGACTGAGGAACGGGAGGCAGGAAGGAGACCCAGAGTGCGAACTCCTGTTGCCAACATTCAGCAGTCAGTGGGCTGTGGACGCCCAGGGTGATGGCCTAAGAAAGGAGCATCTCTGAAGACGTTTTAAGTATGGTGGCTCTGCTGTCTTTTGCAACCAGCAAAGCTTGATAAAAAGACAGGAGAAACCCGGAAGAACTTTCTGCTTCTGAACGCAGGGTGCTCTGTATCAGTTATCTGATTCCTTCTCCAGTAGCCTAACACTGTGGGTAATATTTTCTCTCTCGGATATTCCAGTCATTTCCTTCTACGTCCACCAGGCTACCAGGGGACGTCAGAGGACCCGGTGGCATTACGAAGGTTGAGAAACACTGCCTTAGATGAAGAAGATGGGAAGCCTTTCTCATCCTTCCAATGGGGATTGAGGCCTGGGCTAGATCCCTACAGATCTGTCTTCCAAACCCGCTCCCCACACCACCCAGCCTTTCACCCACTTGGCTGGTTCATTGGGCCTGGGCTCGATGCCTCCCAGGCTGGCTTCTTTTGTTCTCAGTCAAGTGCAATGACCCCAATGAGGTCTTGGCAAGGTTTCTGGAAAACTGAAGTTCTCTGTGTTGCTCTGGGGGTGGCAGACCCTTCCCACAGGGCAGGAGGAAGTCATGGGAACCAGGTCTGTCTCTAAAGCCATTCCGTTTCCTAAGTCACCCCAGGGCCTGCTGCGTATTGTAGTTTTCTGTCATTGCCTCTCCAAATCGTGAAAGGAATAAATAATAGAGCAGGCAGAGGGCAGCTGGGGGCAAGGCAGTGTCTGTATCCTCCAGGGCCGGTGCTCCAGGCTCCAGGGGCCTCCTAAAACCCAGAAAATCCAAACTCGCTGTCATTGATTTGATGCCAACTCATAGTGACCCTATAGGACAGGGTAGAATGGTTCCTGTGAGTTTCTAAGGCTGTGTTTCTGTACAGGAATAAAAAGCCCTGTCTTTCTCCCACAGTGCAGCTAGTGGTTTTGAACTGCTGACCTTGCGGATCACAGCCCAACGCTCAACCACGACAGACCTCCTCAAGCTCCCTCTAATTCAAGTCCTCCTCTTCTCACTTCCAGAGCACTGCAGGAGCCAGCTGCTTCCATTGTGTCTCTCCCCTCCAACCCACTCCAGTTCCGCCTTGCCTCTGCGGCTCTCTGTCTGGGCCAGAGATCTGATCCTAACACGGTCCTGCTTTATGAATCTCCAAAGGGTCCCCATGGCCTCTGGGATAGAAGCCCCCACCCTCACCTTGGAATACCAGATGGTTGGAACCCTGTCTGGAATACCAGGTTGGAAGCCTGCCCACCGCGGGGCTCATCAGAGCCATCCCTCAATGGTCTAGTCATTCACTCCTGTCTCCCTCAAATGCTTTCCAGAGCTTATGCTGGGTCCTGGTGTCTGCCTGGTGTCAGCCTAAAGGTTGGGGGCTCTAACCCACCCAATGACCACGTAGAAGAAAAAAATCTGAGAGGACCTAATGTCGGGGGTTTAAATAGAGAGAAAATGTTTTGAGACACGATGTACAAATGCGCTTTACACAACTGATGTGTGTATGGATTGGGATAACAGTTGTATGAGCCCCTAATAAAATGTTAAAAAAAAGAAATATGATAAGGATTGCCTGTAAGCATGGACTAGGAATACTTTTGTATAACTAATATAAATCAGATAGTATTTTAGAAATGTATAATTTAAAGTTGAGTTCAATTAGAAATAAATAACAAAAAAACCACTTTTGATTTAAAGCTTTTACAAGTCCTGTAAAAAAAAAAGAAAGAAAAAAAAAACTGAGTCTGCTAAAAACCACACAAACCTACTGCCATCGAGTAGATTTCTACCCATAGCGACTCTGTACAGGCTTTCTGAGAGTGAAACTAACTCTTTACAGGCACCGGACAGCCTCCTCTTTCCTCCAAAGAGTGGCTGGTGGGTTTAAACTGACGATCTTTCGGTTAGCAGCTAACCGAAAGTGCTAGCTAACCCATGGTGCAGCAGGACTTCTAGAAATACTGATAGCACTGTTCTATGCATGGTGTTGCTATGAGCTGGAATTGACTGAACTGACTACCAACACAACCACTTCCGGTCAGGCTTGTGTTGTGCTGGAATCTGCTAGAAGCCCTGCAGCTCTCACCTGTCCCAAACACACTGCCCGTGTGGGGTCCCGGACATCCCCACAGCGCCTTACTCAGCCCGAAAGGATCTTCCAGCAGCCATTCCCTGGCTTTCCATCTCAATCTCACGCCCTTTCCTGAGCTTTGCACGTTGTCAACGTTTGCATTCAAGTTGGATCTGCTGTCTTGATTCACCTTTGGGGACCATTTTTTAAAAAGATAAATGACCATCTTAATTCCCTTTCAGCATCCTCTCTCTGGCTATTTCATTCTGGTGATGTAGTGGTTACATGTTGGGTTGCTAACGGTGAGGGCAGCAGTTCGAAACCAACAGTGGCTCTGTGGGAGAAAGGTGAGGCTTTCTACTCCCATAAGCAGTTACAGTCTCAGAAACCCATAGGGACAGTTCTTCCCTGCTCTACTGGTCACCATGAGTGAGAACTGAGTCAATGGAGCTGATGTTTTTCTCTTCTTGCATGGGCGTTGGGCTTTGGACAGCTGCTGCTATTCTTCAAAGCCAAGGGTGTCTTCTCCTGGTCTCTGGAGTTCATGAGTTGAATAACATCAGCCCTAGGAAGCTGTCGTGACAGAGTTAAGAAGGCAGGCTGGGGACATGTGGATGTATGGGTGAACAGAGGCAAGGAATGACGATACACATGGTCAGGAAGGGACACTGTCCCCCAGCAGTCAGTCATAAGGATCTGTCTACCTCCCCCGGGTAACCAGGCTGTACCCCACTCTCCCCTTTGGAAGATTTCACGCTGGTCTAGCTGTACTTCCTTAAGAAAGGCAGAAGAATGACTGGAAGGGGCTCAAGTGGTGTCGCTTGTGTGCAAACTTGACCATTTCATCTCGTCCCTTCATTTGTAAGTTGGGTGGTGCCATCAGGTAAGCACTGGACTGCTAACTGCAGGATCACTGGTTCAAACTCACTCTCTGCTCTGAGAGAGAAGCTGAGTCTGTCTGCTCCTGTAAAAATGTACCGTCTCGGAAACCCTATGAGTCTGAACCAACTTGCTGGTAGTGGGTATAGCAAGGTGGGCTCTGTTGACCTCCCGGTTGGGGTGAGAAATCAGAGAAGGATGTGCTAGCACCCTGAGACCCTGTTGATTAGTTGTCCTCTGACCCCTGTGACTCCTGGTGGTAGCACCCTACATAACAGAACAACTCAACGTTGCCCGGTCTTGCCATCCCATGAGCCATGGTTGACGCTGTTATGTGCGCACCCCTCTGTTAATGATGGGGCCCTTTATCCACTCTCTGTCCCCAAAGACTTCCACACACCACCTCCCTCTGTTCACCATTACTTCTCACTGGGTTCCAGCCCACTCTCCAGACTCCAACCAGGTTCCTTCTCCGGCTGAGGCTTTTTTTCATAGAGCTGATTCTGAACTGACCTCCGGCCCACGAAACCAGTTCCTCCACTTATTCCTCAGCCCTGGGGATAGAGTGGGGGTGGGGAGACACTTTCACTGCCACCAAGCTGTTGATTTTGACTCATAGCAAACCAAGACCGGGTCTCAAATTGCCCCTATACCATATGGGTTTCCGAGAAACCTTTATTGGAAGCTAAATCTTTAGAAAACCTCATCTTTCTCCCAAGGAGTGGCTGGTGGTTTTGAATGGCTACCTGTAAGGTAGTTTGGTGACTAAAAAAGAGAAAGAAGGTAAAGGGAGAAAATAGTTTGGTTTTGTTTTATTAAAACAATTCGCAAAGTCATTTTTGCATTTAAAGTATTCTTCAATAACATCCTTGGCTTGAGATTCTTTGCCATGGTCCTTAACAACCACACAACTACAAGCGACCACTTTCAAGAATTTTCCTTCTCTATCAAGTTTTCCTTCTCTATCAAACTGCCCATTCTCCTAGTTTCTTGTCATGAACCTTAAGGAGGTCGGTGTGGTGTTGAGGCTCATCACGATTGGATGCAAGCCCACAAAGATGGGCCTGGCGCTTGTCTGCTTCGCATTTTCCACGTGCTAGGCCCCGTGGATGAGGGCGGTCTTCAGCACCTCTTAGAAAGCAGGGTTGACGTCCGTGACACCTGAAGCATTGGTGCCTTCCTCAGCCATGGCGGTGGGTTACAGGTGGGACCGAAATCTTGAACACATCATCGGCACAGCTCGTCGGGGACTGGGCAAGAGAGAGAAAATCGTTTAAAAGGTTTATTTCAGAGCTCCCAGGTGAGGTTCAGGTGGAGAGTTTTCTAGCCTGGGTCTCGGGGAGGGAGTAGCTGGGGAATTTTCCATTGCGACTTGGCTGTTTTGCAAGGTGGGCAGTTAGTAGCACAGTAACAATGTAGCGATGCCACCTGGAGCTGCCATTCGCCTGCATCAGGGCTTTAAAGGCCGTCATCGGGAGTTCTTGCGCACTGCCCCACCAGTCCCCGTTTCTGCCTAACACTAACCTTTTTAGTGCTTGTTCTTTCTTCCCCCGTGCTCAACTGCTTGCTTCCAGATAAAACCCCCTTTCGGAACCTTGTACCCCACCCACTCTGGACACCTAGCTGGAGGCAGCAGGGCGAGGTTGGGCGTGTGTTTCTAAGATTGCCTGATTTCAGGGTTTGAAGTCTGGCAGGGTCTGAGGGCGGCTTGGTTATTCAGGGAGGCTGCAGCCGGCGGCGCGAGAAATGGACAGAGCGCAAAGTCCCGGTTCCACCAGGCCGCGGTGGGCCGTCCCTCCCGGCGGGAGTCGGAAGCTGAGAGGCGCCCCGAGACTCCACGCCCCCAGCCCTTCGGGGCCGCGCGCCCGAAGCCCCCTTTGTGCGGGCATCAGGTGCCAGAGCAGGAACGAGGGGCGCGCGCGCCTGCGCCCGGAGCGCGCGCATTGCTCGGCCGGACGCCCCTGTGCGGCCCCCAGCTCTGGGTGGGGATGGGAGCTTGGCGGGGTGGGGGTGGGGTGGCATCTCCGGGACGCCCCGGGCTACGGCAGGGGAGGGAGGCGGCTGGACACGTAGCCGGCCTTGCTCCAGGGCCGAGTCCACGCGGGCGGGAGGGCGGGGGAGCCGGGGACCCGCAGCTCCAGCCCGCTGGCCTTCGAAAGATCCTCCTGGGCCAATGGCAGGCGGGGGGATGCGCCCGGATTGGTGCAGGCGCTCTGCTGATCACTGTGGAAACCTGGGCGGCGGGGAACGCGGGAGGATGCGGAGCCCCGGACGGGGAGGGGCGCGAAGGGGGGGAGGGGGGCGGCTGAGCCACCGGAGTTTTACTGGAGGCAAAAGTCCATCGGGGCGGGCCAGAGGGGAGGGGAGCGCGAGGGGGCACTGGGAAGCCTGGGTTTCGGCGCGGGCGGGAGACTGAGGAGCCTCCGGGGGAGGCGTGCGGGCTGGGGGGCGTGGGGGGGAGGCGGAGTAGGAGAAAACAAAAGCTGAAAGCGAGCCGGGCCCCGTCTGCACACTCGGGCAGGAGGGGCTGCTGGTGCCGCGAGGTCGCAGCGCAGGGGCGTCCCGCTCGGCAGGCAGCATGGGGAAGGGGGGCAACCAGGGCGAGGGGGCCCCGGAGCGCGAGGCGCCCATTCCCACCTTCAGCTGGGAGGAGATTCAGAAGCATAACCTGCGCACCGACAGGTGGCTCGTGGTCGACCGCAAGGTCTACAACATCACCAAATGGTCCAGCCGGCACCCGGGGGGCCAACGGGTCATCGGGCACTACGCGGGGGAAGATGCTACGGTAAGGGTCTGGACGCTCCCCTCCCACCCTTCTGGGCTCCCGCTGGGAGTCGGGCGCCCTGATGCTCCTGGGCGCCAACCAACCAGCTCGCCGGCGCTGACCGGGAGCTCTGGGCATCCGGCAGGGAAGGAAAACGTGTCCGTTGCGCCTGCACCCACGTGCACTCCTCTCCCGGGACTACTGGGTCTTTCGGGGGTAGGGCCCTCCTTGCCCGTTTGGCACTCCGTGGGGGCAGAGTCGCGGCGGGGAACCTAGCTGGAGTTACGGCGCGCGCCGCCACCCTCTGCCGCGCCTTGGAAGGAGGGAGGGGAAGCGCGTTCCCCGAGGGGCCCTCGGCCTCTCGGGTTTTGGGCGCGTCCCCGCTGGAAGATGGCCGCCTCGGGCGCCAAAGGCAGGAGCCGGGCCCGAGGCAGCCAGGTGTGGGACTGGGCGCGCGTCCTGCGCTCTCCCGCGAACCCCGGGGTCGAGGCTCGCCCCTGCTTGGACTCTTGTCTGCAGAAGGTCCGCCGTGGCTGCCTGGGAAAGGGGCTGCCTGTTCCCACGCTCCGAAACACTGGCCCGGGGCGACCCCCGAAGGCCGGCCTTCTAGGGGACCTGGTGGAAGAATTTGCCAAACCCAGTTCAAGCTGGTGAATTTAGCTGCACCGTCCCGCTTTGGGAACGGTCGCAGCTGTCCCCGGAGTTACTCCCGGACATTTTCCTCCAGGACCCGGAGCCGCTAAACCCGGCCGGGAACGCCCTTTCCGCCGCCAGCGCTCCGGGAGGAGTGAGCCCCGGGGCCGCGGCTCCGCCGCTCCGCCGCTGGTGCGCTCCAAATGGGGGCCCCGCCATTGCACCATTTCTTCTAGGTGCATGCGGAGCCCCATGGACTCCCGTGGGTGGAGGGGAAAGAAGGGGGCTTCCCTTGGTGGCCGGGAGCTGGGAACTAGCTGGAGCGGTGGGCTGACGGAAGGGACAAACTCCTAAGGAAGATCACTCCGCCTGGAGGTCTAGTGCGCTGGCCCCTTTGTGAGCCTTAGCCGCGAAGGAGTCTCTTTGGGCGGGTGGGTCGCTCCATTTACCCCATCTCCTCTAGGGAGGCCAACCAGGAAATGGAGAGCACGGTCTAGGCTTACCCAAGTTTTAGTAGCTGGTCAGCTCGATCCTCTACAACAGCTGGTCCTCTTACTGGATTGTGAACACCGCTTTATACCATCCGGCGGCGGCCGAGGCCAACCTTTATTTAGATGGATTCGGATTATCGCTCACTTGCCTTGCAGATGCCGCCTTCCCACAAACCCGTAAGGAGATTGGGCACGGGTAACCAGAGACTGTCAAGTTGATTCCCACCCGTGACCGCCCCTTGGGGACTCGAGTAGCACCGCCCTGCCAGAGGGCTTCTCGGTGGCAGATGTTTTCGGAAAGGTCGCCCGGCCTTTCTTCAGAGGCACTGCAGAGTAGACTAACACCGCCATCCACCCAGTGCTCGGGCCACCCAGGGAGGCAGTGGGAAGGGTTAAGTCCCAATAAAAAAGATTTGGCGTCTTTTCAGCCCTCCTGTGTTGCTGGGTTTGCGCAGGTGGGTTAGTGATGTCATAGCGTTCTAGAAGATGCCTGCCCCGGGCCAGCCTTTCCCAAAAGCAGAAATCAAAGGTGATGGGTTGGCCTGAAGAATCCATCGCCTTAAAGCAACTGAGTTTTCCAGTGTGGGACTCGGCCTGCCTGCCGTTGACTTGGAACTTGATCGTTTAAATGAGGGCGACCGATGATCTCCCCTTTCTTCAAGGTATTCTCAGGACTTGCCTGAACGGAACAATGCGAGTTCCTTTTAAAACCAGTGCCCAGATCCATCCCATCTGACTGCCAGGGTGCCCCCAGCCTCTGTTTTCTCATTGAGCTAAACACGGAACAGTGTTTTAGCTTCTTTTGACTTCTGTCCTTGCCCCAGCCACTGTCTGCATGACTCTCGTTGATTGTTAATCTGGCATCTTGATATTTGCTGCCCTGTAAGAAGGTGGGGAAGGAGCCAGAGTAGGAAGTCCTGGAACTGAGGACCAACAGCTGGCCCCCGGGCTCATCCATGGAGTGTTCTCTCTCTCTCTCTCTCTCTCTCTCTCTCTCTCACACACACACACACACACACACCAAATAAAATCCAAAAAGCAAACAACCCACTATCATTGAATAGACCCCCAACTCATAGAGACTATAGGGTGTGAGCAAAACTGCCCTGTAAGTCATGACTTTTCTAAGGCTGTAAATAATCAGTATGGAAGCTGACAGGCACATCTTCCTTTTTTCTGCCTACGGTTTTTTTTTAAATCGTTTTATTAGGGGCTCATACAACTCTTATCGCAATCCATACATACATCAATTGTGTAAAGCACATTTGTACATTCATTGCCCTCATCGTTCTCAAAACATTTCCTCTCCACTTAAGCCCCCGGCATTAGGTCCTCATTTTCCCCCTCCCTCATGAGCCCTTGATAATTTATAAATTATTATTTTGTCATATCTTACAGTTTTATTGGCAAATAATTCATGTAGCATACAATTCTATATACTTCGGTTACATCAAGGAGAGTTGTACAATCATCCCCCCGATCAGTTTTAGAACATTCTTCATTCTTCCATTCATCTTTATGAACTCCTCAAGCCCCCAACCCCCAAGGAACCATTCATCCAGTTACTGCTTCTAGATTTATCAATCCTAGATTTCATACACAGAAAAACATTTTTAAAGCCTAGTAAAACAGATTAGAACTTCAACCAAAAAGGAGATATTAAAAACTAGAACAAGTTTCAGTGGCTCGTAAGGGAGATTAAATGATAGGGCTAAATTTTAGCCTAACTGTGACTGCCACAGCCCACAGTGCATTCTGCATGGTAGTAACCCTATTCCCATCCCCGCTCCATGGCCAGAGAATTCACCAGGGGCTTAATCCATGTGTATTTCCTCTTCATTTTTTTTTTTAAGCTGAAACAGTTCTAAAATGGGTCAAAAGAGAGATCACATGATTAGAGACTACCTTTTAACCTAACTACGTCATGGCCACATCTTTCAGCGGCCGGTGGGTTCCGAGACCTGTTGTTTAGCAGTCAGGCGCCAACCACTGCACCACCCGGACCTCTGCTGCCCCTTTTTATCTCGTCAGCCCTGCTTGTGTCGTGGGCCACACATCAGGCTGCTAACCAAAAGATACATGCTGTGTGGGGACCTCGGGCAAACGAGGGGTCCTCACTGCTCACTGAAAAGTTGGCAGTTCGACCCCACCCCAAGCGCCGTAGTAGAAAGACCAGGCGATGGACTTAGGAGAAATCCGTTGTTGGAAAGCCTGTGGTGTCCAGTTCTGTTCTGACACACGAGTCCCCGCTGAGTCCGAATCCCTTAGACGGCAACGGCTTTAGACTAAGAAGGCAAGAGGAACTGGAAGAATTGAAATGGGAAGAAACCATATCTCTGTTCTATACCATCTGTTATTGGACATTCAGACCCTTTCTGTCCCCAAGGAGACCTCGTGGTGTAGTGGTTACGAATCAGGCTGCGATCCCCATGGCCACCAGTTCAAAACCACCAGCAGCTCTACGGGAGAAAGGCTGGACTTTCTCTTCCCATAAACAGTTACAGCTTCAAGGACCCACAGCAGGAGGCTATGAGTCAGTGTTGCCATTGGCACGGAGGAGATACAGGTGTGACGACGGTACAGGTGTGAGGTACAGGTGTGACGGACGGACACTACTACGATGAGGCTGCTACTGGGTTTCCTTCTTGGTTTGCTTTTTTTCTTTTAAGTTTTTTTTTATCAAGATTGAGGTGCGGGTTGACTGAGTCGATCATCCTTTTTGGTGTTCCACAAATCAAACTTCCCAACAGGTTGCCCTATTTCCATAACCTTTAAAGCAGTTTTATTGGCACGTCCTCCGCGTCAACCCGTTGTCTCCAGAAGACTTGCACAATCGTCGCTCTCATCAGTTTCTGAGCATTGTCTTCTTCCTTGGGCTGTGCTGTTGGGTTTGCCTTGACTCGGTCTCCCTTTCTGTAGTCCTTCTTTTAACCATCTAGGGACCCAGGCGGCATAGTTGTTAGCACTGGGCTGCTAACCGCTGTGTCAGCAGGTCCAAGCCACCAGCTGCTCCTCGGAAGACACATGAGGTTTTCTCCTCCCGTCCAGAGTTGACGTCTCAGAAACCCACAGGGCAGTTCTACTCCGTCCTACAGGGTGACTGTCAGTCAGAACGGACTCGATGGCCGTGAATTTGGGACCAGGTGGGAAAAACCATAGAGAACAACGAGGAGAGAACTTGGAGAGAGACAGGAACAGGCTCGGAATCAAGAGACACTGGGTGTTTGGGGACCTAGACAGACTGAGCACCAGGGCCTTATTAGGAGGGAATTACCCTGGGGAACATTTTAGCAGGAAGGAGAAGCCAGAGGCTGGGGAAGTGATTCTTAGGACTATTCAAGGGCCCAGTGGGGGGTTTTCTTAACTATGAGGAAGAAAGAACTTCAGCAGTCAGGACCTGCCCCTTTCAAGAAGGGGCAGAGCAGTTGGCATTGAACCCTTCTGCATTAGTTAGAACTTGGTCTTGCCTGTGATAGTGACCTTGCTCAATGTTGACAACTCACAGGACCCCTCGAGGTCCATTGGGCCGGTTCTGCCTCGTAGGGACCCTGTGCACAGCAGAGCGAAACCCTGCCTGGTCCTGCACCACCCTCACGATGCTCGTTGCTAGGTTTCTTGCGGCCTCGCCACCACCATCATCCAGAAGCACCCCTCTGTGGTCTCCCACATTCATTGTCCAGCTTTGCCAGGCGCCTTCGTCTTCAAACCAGCTCTCTGAGGTCTCCCATCGCTGTGTGAAAGCCTTGGCCCAACTGTGGGCTCAGATTTAAACCAAGGTCTTTACCACCGAGTCTCTCCTGCCTGCCTTCTTCTCCCCTCCCTCTCGCTTTTCTGCTGTTTCTCTTGTCTTTAAGAAGAACCGTCACCCACGTCCCAAGAGTGCTTCACCACTGCAGAACTTTCCCCATCGGGACTTGCCCTGCTCCTCAACCATTCATCAAACATTTATGGGCGTCTCTATGGCTGGGAGCTGGGCCTTGTGTGCAGAGATGAATAATTCACACACACACACAAAACAAACTCACTGCCATCAAGTCGATTCCAACTCACGGTGACCCCGTAGGACAGGGCAGAACTGCTCCTGTGGGTTTCCGTGACCGCCACTGTACTGGAGTAGAAAGCCTTATCGTTTTCTGTGTGAGCGGCTGGCAGTTTTGAACTGCTGACCTCGCTGTTAGCTGCCCGATGCGTAACATTACTCCGCAGTGACTCCCAAATAGTGGGGTGGCTGCTCTCAAGCTGGGACCTGAATCTGGAGCCTCTGCCTCCACATGCCTCCCGCTACGATGCTGTCTGCTGCCTTGTCCTCTTGCACCGCCCGATGTAACCAAGTTAGGGTCACACTTCCTTTCTCAGCCTGCGGCTCCCGGGAGAGGCCCACAGGCTGGAGATGGACAAGCTCCGTCCTTCACCCACTGGGCAGGGAAGCCAGGGTGATTCTAGCACAGCGATTAGGGGTCCGTCCCAGCTCTGTGAGAGCCCAGACAAGCCATGCTAGGTGTGTGCTGTACCTGAAGCCCTTGTCCCCCACAGTTTAGAGGGCAGCTCTGACTACTCTGTGGGGCCACTTTCGCTGGACACCACCGTGGGGGGCCCTGCCGAGCCCAGCATCCCTGCCATCGGCTCTGTGACCCGATGGTGGCAAGTAGCACCTGCAGAGTCAGGTTCTGGCGATGACCTCTTCAGCCCCAGGTTGCCTTCTGGGTGTCCCCATCTGTCAGTGGGGACCCTCTCGGGGGCTCTTGGTTTGCAGAGCACAGTGCACCTGCCCCCACTGCTGCTTTCCCTCCCAGGGGACTTGGTCGTGGGCTCCCTGTTTTCAATGTCTGAGTCCTCAATCAGCAAGGTTAGCCCCGGCTGGCCTGTGTTTGCCTTCTCATGATGACCCCTTTTGCCACCATGTCCAAGACTCCACTTCTAGGTCTGGCTGGCCGCTGCCTCGCTCCCAACCCCATGACGCCTTTCCAGACAGGGTCAAAGCTTCCTCAAATGTACGGCCCTCGACAGACACGGGGTGTCCAGGAACAGCGGAGAGCAAGCTTGTTTATCCCTGTTGTGAACAAAAGAATGTGTGGCAACTGTCCACGGCAGATTAAAACAATGAACTTGTTTGAGCTCAGATTAGTGGGTGAACACGCAGAAGCCCAGGCTTAGCCTTTGGC